CATCGATTTCTGTGCTAAAAGTAAAACATCCAAGAGTGTTCCACCCAAAGAAAAAGGAATTTTTAATACCCTTTCCTCTACTTCCCTTTGATTTTCTGGGAACATTTTTTTTTTATATTCACAAGCTTGATGTTTTGTGATCTATACTGACCAAAAATCATTACCAACTCTTGTGCCAAAACTTGCTATCAGGTTGTTGGGGGGTTGTGTTTTGGGTTTGGGGCTATTTTAAAGGTGAGATTCTTTTCTGGCCCTGTTTGACACAGTAAAGGCTTTGTTCAGTCAGCCTGTGTGAAGGGTCACAGAGCATTCTCTGCCCACTGGCAAACAAGAGGCCCACTCCTACTTCCTGAATGCCACTCACGAGGGTGGGCTAGAATGTAACTTTGGGATATAAGTCCTTCCTTTTGGAGGAAGGCAAAAAAGGGCCATTTTTAGTGCTTTCCAATTAGTGCAGAACTGTTACTACCTGTTTCTGGTAGCCTGTGGCAGTTGGCAAGGAGGTGGGCCCCGGCAGGTCAGTGGGGGCTGGAGGACACAGTGGCTTGACTGCAAAGCAGGGCGGGGCCAGGCCAGCACCACAGCCAGGGCTCTCGGGCAACTCCGCAGCGGCTGGCTTGTGTGGCCCTTGGGAACAGTGCAGATCCACAGAGACAGCTGTTAATGCTGACATTAACTGAACCTGGTCTCTCATTATGAGATTCAAGAATGAGTTTTAATCATGGGTGTAATATATGCAGAATGGGGCGAGGTTGGGGGGATTATTTGCATTTACTGTAATTTTATAAATAAACTCTAGATGAATGCAAATATCGCCTACACTTTACTGCTTTCATCTTTCCTTTTTTATTCTACACTTTCTCCCTTCACAGAATACCTTGAGAAGACTTCAGTAGTAAAGAACTTTCATTCTTCTTACAGCTCCCTCCTCCCCCACCCCCAAACTAAGAAACTTGCACTTTCCTGGATTCTAGATATAAGATACAAAACTTGGGATTAAATTAAATCTTGATTGATGATCCAATTCAAGACCAGATTTCTTCCTTTAGGAAGTTTGTGTTATGAACACATTCTTGTACCTCCTTAGTTAGCTTTCCCTTACCTATCCCACACAACGTTTACCAAGCGTCAGCTGTGTGCCAGGCATTGAAGCAGATGCAACGTGTAATCTGTGAAGATATGAATGGTGGTGGTTGGAGCTATCATCTTACTACAGTTATTCAGTGTGTGAAAGATAGTGTTCAGAAAATATACTTGGCAACATTTAATTACATTAGATTTGAAAGAGAGAAAGGAAGGGGGCTTGAGAGCTAATGCAGCTGGCACAGTGCTGGCCCTGTGGGCCTCTCTTCAGCTGGGTGTGCACAAAGGGCATTGTCCTTTGTCAAGAGGGCTGGTTAGGTGAAGCAAAGCACGTAGGTACAGCTATGGAAAAGAAAGGTGATGTGGCAGCTATGGAGAGAACGATAATTTGGGGAGAAAACTGGTTCAAAGTGCCTAGCATGCTGAGAGACTTTTTGTACTTTCAAATAACAGAGGTCTGGACAGTTCTGTGTTCCCAGACTGTGCTACCTCTGTGAAGGGAACTGGGGTTTTGGGGGAAGGGTTTAGAAGAAATTAGACTTTTCTATTTTTGCATACACCCATATGAAACAACGGACTTGGGCTTGCCTATCTTGAAAATTTTTAATTAAAATTTTTAATTTCAAAAAACCATGAACAATAGAAATTAAAACTGCAAGACTTAATGGATTGTATTCTCTGGGGCCTGTTGTGGCTCCCGTTTTTTCTTTTTTTTGTGGAGCTCAGCGCCCCCTGCAGGGGGGCGGGGAAGCAAGGTCGGAAGCAGCCAGGAGCGGGCTCCTTTGAGGAGCTTTGCTCCTGGGCTTCGCTTCATCCCAGGGGCTTGTTTAAATCCTGCAAAGTCATCTGCTCTTGGCCTCACCCTTGTGTATAGGTGTGCATAGTTTTGAAAGAAATAGAGCTTTTTTTTTTTTTTAGCAGTATAGTGGCAAAGATAGGGACACCTAGTGATGTTAGCTTGTGTTTTGCCAGGGAGCTCAGAGGACTTAAGAGGGTAAGGGGAAGCTTACTTATTAAACTTAGTATAAAACACAAATTCTGAGAAATAAAAGTGTGAGTAATCAAAACAATAGTTTAGCCAACTCTGAATATTATTGGTGTCATAGAAAATAGTGGCAGAGATCTGTATAGACTTTAAATTGCCAAAGCCAGAAATCAGTACAAAATGATTACCCCAATGGTTTGAAAAGTTCATTTTATTAAAGTATTAATCACTTAAATGGCTTTAAATACTAGCATCCTAGACAACGATGGGTCAGATCTTTTAATTGGGTGGGCATACTATGAATTAGATTCTGGAGCATTGCCTTAGAGTGGGAGTGTTGCAATCTTTCAATATTTTCTCTAATCATTTTACCCTCTAAATTATAAATGTAGCAGTGATAGAAAATGATCAGCAGAGATTACCCTCCATTTTCTTACAAGGTTAATTAAGAACCTCCCTGCTCTGGAATTTCTCGAACAGTGACCTTTTATTGATATATAATAAAGTACAAAATACATTTTGTAAAACAAACCTAAAATATTATTTTCTACTCTGCAATAGTAAAGGGGGAAAAATCTCCGTTAGTGTTTTAATAAAAATCTTGATATAAGGTTATGATTCATTTTAGAGCTTTAAGAACTGCTTTTTATTTCTGCATTATGGCCTGAACGATCTAAAATCCTGGCGGCCACTACCTTCTTTCAGAGACTCCTTTTCTTCTCCAACCCACGCTCTATGATAGCATGTTAGTGATGATAACCACAAAACTAAACGACATTTTATAATTTGGTTTGGGAAGGTGGGCAGTGACCTTTACAGCTTTATTACTTTCTACTGAATTTCAGAAATGCATGAGAATTTTAATGTCAGAACTGTGTGTGGTAGCCAGCCTCCAAGATGGCACCAACACGCCTGCCTTGTGATACTGCTACCCTGCAGTCGTCCTTTCACTGTGTACTCCTGCTGGCCCATGTGGTCAGTAGTCACACAGCTGAAGTGATGCTGTGTCATTCCTCAGATTAAGCTTAAAAGTATGGCGGCCCTTCCTGGTGGCACAACGGGTTGGAACACAGCACTGCAAACCTGCCACAGTTACTTCAGTGTAAGTTCGATCCCCGGCCCTGGAGGTGATCTACATGGCGTGACAGGCCTCTCCTGACCTGCCCGCTGCTCCCTTCAGCAGTGTACTCCCTCCATCTGCCTGTTCTGCTCCTCCCTCTGTGTGCTCCTCACTCTGTGTCTGATGAATCCCTCACCGCCACTGCACCTCTGGCCTGTGCCCCAGTTCTGTATGCACAAATAAATAAATCTTTTAAAACAATGAAAAAAAAGTCTCAACTGGATTTCACTAAGTTCACGTAAGCCTACTCTGAATTTAGTATATGACTCAGTAGAAACAGCACCTGGACTTCTTTCGATGTAAAGAGATGTCTTAAAGGTCACCTGTGCCTCTAAGCACCCTTATTTGGCCTCAACACCCAAAACAAGAAAACCAGGTATCTAAGAGAACTTTTTAAAAAGCCGCAAGTTAGAGCATTTGAAGTGTCTTATTCGCATAGACCCCCCTGCAACTTGGAGGTTCCTTGAAGAGGAAGGCCCATGTAGCCTCACCTTCTACAACTATTCTATTTGCAGACGCAACACAGAAAACACTGTACAGCTTCAGTTCTATGGTATTTTCCATTTTTTATTAATCAAACTGCAAGGTTAAGTCAGAGTTGCACTGTTAGTGTCAAAACCTTGTTTTTTTTCTGAAGGCAGAATTAACAGTTCAGTGCTTACAAGTTGCAAGCATTTGATCGAGCCCTCTCAGCCACTAACAAGTGCCTTCCTCGCCACAGAAGCAGGCAGCCCCTGGGTCACACTCATCGTTGACAAAGGTGTCCTCGTCGTCGGGGGCACCACCGAGGGCGCTGCCAGGTGCACAGGGGTCGCCGCAGGGGCTGCAGGGGCCTCCGCAGGGACCTCCGAGGGTGGGTTTGGGAGCAGCGACGGCGGCTGAGGTGGCGCCCCCGCCGTAGTGGTAGGCGAGGTAGCGGCCGGCCTGCACGCCCTGCGCCATCACGTTGGTGCAGTGGCACGCCATCAAGAGCAGGTTTCGAGGCTGGACACGGTAGGCGAAACGCATGAAGGCCATGGAGTAGAAGATGAGCGCTGTGGTCATGCGACCGCTGATAAACTCCGGCGATGTCTTCATGTCCTTAAAGGCAGCCAGAGGGAGGCCCCAGTTGGCCACTGGACCCCAGAAGTGTGTGCTGGTCAGGTAATCCCGGAACTCCTTGGTCTTCACGTAGTCGGTAGCCCTCCGCAGCAGTCCCGCCAGCCCTGCCATGGTCGCCAAGTGGCGGGAGCGCCAACACAGACTGGCAGGCCCACAGTGACGTGGGAGAGTTCTGAGCCAAGGCCTCCACTCAGGTGATCATTGTCAAGTGCGTGGGGCAGCAAGCACTATGACGTGCCCAGCCTGGGGGCGGGGCCTCCTGCCTGGACGTGCCTCCCTGACGCATGCGCCCTGAGCTTCCCCCCTCACCCTCCAACTCCCTCCTTCCCCCCCCCCCACCTTAAAGCTCATAGTCCCGTGTGCCACCCAGGAAGTGAGGGATCTGGGCCCTGCTTCCTCTCACCCGGGTACAGGGTATATTTGCTTGTTCTATCCAATTTGTGAACAGTGTTGACTAGACGCCAAGACAAAACTCTTCAACCAGATACACAATTTTAGTCCTTATACATTTTGCCCCTAGACATTTCAGCATCTGTCTCGTAACATTCTCCTACTTAACCCGAACAATAATCCACTAAGATAGTTAACATTTAGTGCAGTACCATTATGCAATATGTACTGTGTGTTTAAGTTGTATAGCTTTATGACTTGTGTTTTTTCTTTCTGGTTGGAGGGGGAGATCTGGGATCCAACCAAGGTTCATATTTAGTTATCATCTCTCTTAATTTCTTTTAATCTAGAAGACCTATCCAGCTTTTTTTCTTTCGGGAAGTGGTCTTTCATGTGACATGGACATTTTTTTGAGTATAGTCAATGGTTCTTGAGAGTGTCCTTAATTTAGATATTTCTATTTTTTCATAACTAGATTTAGGTTAAGCATTTTTTTTTTAGTATTTATTTATGCATACAGAACGGGGGTACAGGCCAGAGGTGCAGGGGCAGTGAGAGGCTTCGACAGAGACAGAGAAGGGAGCAGAACAGGCAGATCAACTAAATCCACTGCTGAGGGGAGCAGCGGGCCTGTCAGGAGAGGTCTGCCGTGCCATGTGGGTCACCTCTGGGGCCAGGAATAGAGCTTGCACTGAAGAGCTGTGGCTAGCTTGCAGTGCTGCACTTTAACCTGTTGCGCCACCAGGGAGGGCCCCAAGCATTCTTTTTTAAGGTTAGACATTTTTTTTTTTTTTTTGGCCCCATCACAGGACAGGTAATGTGTCCATAGTGCTTCAGAATGAGAGGCATATGATGTCACTCTGTTCCATTTCTGGTGGTGCAAAATTGGATCATTTGGTTACAGTGCTGTCTGCAGATTTCTGCATCATTAAGGTAACTTTTCCACTTGGTAATCAACAGATAATCCAAACGGATTCTCTTTGAGAGTATAGGAATGTTCTTTTCCCCAACCTTAATTTTTTTTTAAAGATTAATTTCTTCAATTATTGTATTACTTTTATTCAGTGACAGTGGTTTGGTTTTACCACACTATATATAATTTGGGGTATAGTTTTCTACCTCTTCCCACCAGCAAGACACCCATTATCCTCCATCATAGTCCACGTGTGCCCCTCCCTGGCTATGCTCCCCTTCTGGCAGCCTCAGTTTCTAGGTTTTGTTTTGGTTTAGCCCAAGAGCAAATGCTTTCTTTATCGAGATCACATTGGTTTACAACGTGATTTAGGGGAGTCGGTTCACATCTCCTCAGATGTATGTGACCACCTCACACCACCAACGGTAAACTTTTCATGACAAAGCATGATTATTTTGCCAGTGGTTTCTACTTTTTCCAATAAAAATAATAATTGTTGAAAGTAATTAAACATCTATTGAAATATCAAAATTTTGGTGGTTATTCAAAAACAAGCCCATTGTACCTTCAAAAATGGATATATAACCATGTTGATTTACACCTGAAGTATTTTACAGATATAGCTTAGAAACATATGGTACAGCTATTGCTCAAAAGCAAAGCCCCATGATTTTTAGATTACCCATTTTTAAAATACTGGGCTTCCAAACCTAAATGACTGTTATACAAGTATAAACCAATTCACTGTATGTTTGAACTAATAAATCAGTAAGCATGAATAGAGGAATAGCTCTGTAGACCTAACCTGCCAGATGAGTGTCCTGAAAGAAATGCATTTTCCCTGCTTAGTGAAATAAGCCAGAAAGAAAAAAGAAAAATACCAGATGGTTTCACTCATGGCAGGAGCATAAAGGACCAGGGGGAAAAAAATAATAATGAACAACTATATACAGAGACATTTTATCAGGGTGGAGTAGGGATTGGGATCAAAAACGGCGGGGAGTGCACGGGACTGTGGTGATGGCACACGGGTGAATTGGTGATGGGAAGCCCACGGGGATTACAACTGAGGTGGAAAAAGGCACAAAATGATGTAAAAATAAACTATTATTAAAAAAAGAAGAAGAAATGTATGTTCCCAATCCTTGCCCACAAGCAGCCCTGGGACTTATAGGTATGAGCTACATACAAATTGTTACTTGGTCTCAGTTACCCATTGCTGCAGAACAAACCACTCAAAAACTGAGTGGCTTAGAAAACAAACATCCTGAATATTACTCACAAATTTGCAATTTTCGTAGGACCGGATGGGGGCAGCTTGTCTATGCTATGCATGGTCAGCTGGGGCAGTTCTGCTTGGTAGGCTGGGGAGTTCAGTTGGAATTATTAGCCTGGAAGTCTCAGTCCCTCTCTGCTTTGCCCTCTTCCAGCTGCTTATCTCCATCATAGCTCCATGAAAAAGCATGACAAGAGCATCAAACGGAAGCGATGTGGTAGGTAGAATTATAAAGTGCCCCCCAAATGTATTCCCTTGCATAATCTCCCCTTGAGTGTGGGTGGAAGCTATGAATATGATGACTTGATTTGATGACAAAAGGGATTCTGCGGATGTGAGTAAGGCCCCTCTCAGGAGTGGACCTGCCCGATCACATCAGCCTTTTAAATCTAGGTCTAGAAGTCAGAAACAGGAAGTCTGAGCTGTGAAGCAGAGGAGGGATATGACATGAGGCAGATCTCTGTAGCTGGCTTTGGGAGTGGAAATGCCTATGTGGCAAAGAATTCGAATAGCCTCTGGGAGCTGAGTGAAGCCCCAGCCCACACCCAGCCGAGAGGCAGACCTCAGTCCTGCTGCAGTACACAATGGAATTCTGCCGGCAGCATGAAGGAGCTTGGAAGCAGATTTGCACATCACCTCTCAGGGAAGTCAGTCCTTCATTTCAGCGAGATCTTGAGAATTTGGTCTTGCTGTGCCCAGAATGCTGACCTGTAGACTGTGAACTAAGAAGTGGGTGTTTTAAGTTCCCTGAGTTGGAAACTAATAGAAGCTAGATTGATATTTATGATTATCTACTAGAAGACCCATAATAGCACTTTCTCCAGGCACAACCCACCCAAAATCAAAGGCAAGGGGGAAGGGAGGGGGGACAGGAATGGGGAGTGAGGAAGGACATTGACTCACCTCTCAAAGGCAGGACTGCAGAGCATGGGGAATATTGTGGCCACGTTTGGAAAGTAGTGTCTACTATGTTACCTAAAGTGACAGTCCACCATGTAACCTCCCTTGAAATCAGATAATATAGGACATTGGACTGGAAAGGATTTCACAGATTATCTGTGATTTCACAGATTATCACAGGATTGACAGTGGTACCTACTCACAGCAGTTATTGTGAGGTTCCAATGCGTCAACCTGTGCTCAGTGATTAGTATAGGGCCTGTTGTAGAAGTGCTCAGTGAATTTTAGGTATTGACACTATCATTGCCATCATCCAATCCAACCCCCGTGTTTTACATACTAGTGAAAACTGTAGCCTTAAGAGGCCCATGATGGCACGTGAATTCATAGTAGGCCAGGGTTAAAGCTTCCTACTTCTCATATCAACCCTCTGCACAAGTCAGTCTGATTCTTTCTGCCTTTCAACTATGCTGTAAGTTCCCTTAGGCCAGACAAAGTATCAAATGAAATATTACTTCTTCCCCAAGCCTTTCTAATGTATTGACTGGGTGTGGTCCAAATCCAACAAATCAAGGCCTGCCCGTTCAGAGGGGTGTTTTCCATTTAGGATAATGGAGGTACAATTGTGAGTGACTTTCCTGATACACTCTGATTGGTGCTGGGCTAAACAGCCTCTTTCTAAGGATTTTTCCAGGTAGATGTTTGGGTTTGCTATAGTCACAAGGAATGGCCCAAGTGCATATCTTTCTTTTAATTGTTCTTTTGAACGTTTTATTTTGAAAAAAATCTCAAATTCATAGAGAGCTAAACTAATTAAAAATGAGAAAAACAGGGCCCTCTCTAGTGGCGCAGCGGGTTAAAGCACTTCAGCATGAGTTCAATCCCCGCCCCGGAGGTGACCCACATGGCGTGGCAGACCTCTCCTGACGCGCCCGCTGCTCGCTTCAGCAGTGTGCTTCATCAGTCTGCCTTTTCTGCTCCCCACTGTGTCTCTGGTGAATCCTCTCACCGCCCCTGCACCTCTGGCCTGTACCCCAGTTCTGTATGCACAAATAAATAAATTTTTTAAAAAATGAGAAAAACAGAGCAAGAAGCCTCAAAAGAAAGCCCATATATTTATTCTTCATCCAGATTTACCAGCCTTTCTATATTTTCTCTGCTTTCGGAGCATTTTCCTAGGAACTTCAGTTTTCCTGAGCTTCATCCTCCGGGTACTCCCAAGGTTACTTTGTGGTGGCCCCTCACTTCATCCCGCCAGGTGCAACGCGCCTGCCACACAGCCGCAGCACCGAGACCTCTGCTTCAGGGCTCGCTTGCATCTACTCCGTCCTTATCTTGGACGATAGTGAGGTGAGCGTCACGGAGGATAAGATCATTGCCCTCATTAAAGCAGCTGGTGTAGATGTGGAGCCTCTCTGGTCTGCCATGTTTGCAAAGGCCCTGGCCAATGTCAACATCATGAGTCTCCTCACGAAGGTGAGAGTGAGCCGACCTGCCCCGGGCAGCAGGAGGCCCTGCCCCCTTCTCCATGGCTCCACCTGCTGAGAAGTGGAGGGAAAGAAAAGACCCTGAAGTGTCTGTTGATGACATGGGTCTTTTGGATTAAATTTCCTTTTGTCACATGTTCAATAA